AAGGTTTTCTTCCTCTGATGACTCTCTGTGGTTAAATTTTGTTAATCTCTCAGCTCCTCTCTATCCTTCATGGAAACCCTGCGCTTCTTTCAAAGGTAATCTCTCTGCTCACCATCTTGTTGTAAAGGAGGGTGAAGGTTGCTGGAGTCGAAGATTGAGCTTGAGGAGACATTAAGATTTTTATTGTGGGAATCACAGATGGTGGAGTCATAGGCATTGACGAGATAGGCCACTCCGATTTGGAATAAGATAGAGGACTCCACTAAAGCCAACCTCTCCACTACCATGGGTGATGCCGACGGGGAAAGTTGGCATAGACGACAAGGAGGAATGAGAAAGAGAACGTGGAAGAGTTGTGAAAGACTTGTGAAAGAGTTTTCACGTCATCAGTAGATGAATAAAACCAACGGCACTTAACTAATAATAAATTAATTTTTATTAAATCTGAGTATTTATTTGAAAAAAAAAATTTAAATGTATAAGAATTTATATAAAACAAAACAAATTTAAGTGTTTAAATAAAAAAAAATATATCAACAATACAAAAGTCAATTTTTAAGTATTAAATTAAATGTTATTTTAATTCATTTCTTGTCGCATGCTAATAATAATAAATCGTCCGAAATCAAAGATATTGACGGAATTGGTTCAATTGTTATTAACTCCTATATATATTAAGTAGGTAGGACATACAAAAATAAATGAGAAATTAAGAAGTTTGAATAAAATGTGAAGTATTTTATCATAGTTATAAAAATTCAACAACTCATCAAGCAAAGTTAGCATTCAATTAAATAAATACAAAAATATTCAAAATATAACATTTGAGGATACTATTCAAACAAACATGAAAGCATTTTGTTGGCAAATCCAATGCCATAAATATCCATATAGTCCTTAAAACTCATAAGATTTGATTCAATAATTAAAGGAGAAGAAAGTTTTTATCGCCATGGATGGTGGCAAAACAAGCTCTCACTGATTAGAGCTAGAAGAGCTTAGTTGCTTGGAGTTCATGTCAAACCCACATGGGGGAAAATTTATCTCATCATCTGAATCTGAATCAATTGGTCCTTCAATTTTTGAATTTTCTAACGGTGAGTTTCTCACTATGCTCTTTCCTTTGTCTGTCAAATTCCCAATGTCCATCCTTCGAAAATTCATCTCAGCTCCGGTCGAGGAATCTTCATTGTAGGTGCTGTTTGGATTCTTAGAAAATATGTTTCCATCAACTCTAGAGCTAGAGGAGCCAGGAGAGAAAGTTCGGTTTTGAAAATCAAAGTTTTTTGTTGGATTCCCAAAAATTACATTCTCATCAAACCTAGTGGTAGAAGAGTTAGGAAGAAAAACATTGGGAGTTTTTTGTAAACCAAAGGTTTCATTTGGATTCCTAAAAGATCGATTTCCAAGAACATCATTTCTAGAAGGTCCATGGAAAAATTTTGAGTGTGTTTGGAAACCTTGGTTTTTGTTTGAATTTCCAAAGAAGTCATCCTCATCAAACCTATTGCTAGTTGAGGTGGGGAAAAAATTTGGGTTTAGAGGGAAATTAAGATTTCTATTTGGATTCCCAGAAATTTCATTCACATCCACTCTGCAACTATAAGAGTCAGGGAAAAAATTTGGTTTTGGAGAGAAATCAAGATTTCTATTTGAATTCTTAGAAAATCCATTTCCATCAACTCTATTACCACAGGAACCAAGAAAAAAATTTGGGTTTAGAGGGAAATCAAGGTTTCTGTTTGGATTCCCAAAAAATTCATCCCCACCCACTCTATTGCTACAGGAGCCAGGAAAAAAATTGGGGTTTAGATAGAAATCAAGGTTTTTGTTTGGATTCCCAGAAAATTCATTCCCATCCACTCTACCGCCATAAGAACCAGGAAAAAGATTTTGTTTTGGAGGAAAATCAAGGTTTTTGTTTAGATTTTCCAAAAATCCATTTCTATCCACCCTATTGCTATAGGAGCAAGAAAAGAAACTTGGGTTTAGAGGAAAATAAGGATCTTTGTTTGGATTCCCAGAAAATTCATTCCCACCCAATCTAGTGCTACAGGAGCCGTGGACAAAATGTGGGTTTGTCTGCAAATAAGGGAATTGAAGGCCATTGTTTGAGGTAGGCAAAGATGGAAATGGATTTTGATAAGATGATTTTGCATTCCCCTGATATGCATTCCTATCTGTACTAGACAACTTATGAAGAAAACCAGGTTTTGTTGGGATATAAGGGTTGTAAAACCCATGAGTAAAGAAGGGTATATCTAAATCATGACCACCATAACCGGGACAATTTTGATGAGCTTGTGAAGAGGAAAAGCCATGGTTTTGAGATAATGAAGAGTCAGGATAATGCTGACTAATCTGATTATGAACTGGCATAGTAAAACATTCCCTAGGAAATGAATTCCCAAACCCAGAAACTCCCAATTCTGGATCACCACTAAAAGGCCTACCATTAGAGCTCTGATCTCCATCTTCAGGAATTGTATCTTCCAAATTCGTAAGTTCAAGTCTCTCAGATTCTCTTCTCTTGGAAAGAATTTCTTCAACAGTGCAAGTTCTTATCTTCTTCGAAGCACCTCTACCAATTGGTATCCTCGGGCATCGGAGAATTCCATGGATGTCATACTGGTTTAAGTCATAGTTGGTCACTGCCTTATGGCCTTTCAACCTTATAGATGCTATGTCATAAGCTCTTGCAGCTTCTTCTTGAGTTTCTGACACAAAACATATATATGTAACATGTTATCATTTACCTTTGAGTGATTTAGGTTTGCATTTTTTGAACTATATTATATATACATATATATATATGTGAATTATCATAAATATAAATTTATACAACAATTACATTCAAAAACTTAAACTCATAAACATTTATTGAGTAGTGGACTTACCAAATGTTCCAAGATATAAAGTTTTTAATATTGTGCTTTTTCCCACTCTTGCTTGCCATTTTTTAAAATCCGAGTTCCTGTTCCATAATTTTATTGTCCATTAGTTGATAAAAAAGTTTGAGCAAGAGATCTAGAGAAATAAAAAAATTTTACCGTGAAACTCCGCGGAAGTTAGATTCACCCTTTGCAAATCCCTTACTGTTTCTGAAATTTATCAAAATTTATGCTCGAAATAAGTATAAAATAACATGTATTTTTTTATTAAAAAAAATTTTCTTGAAATAACAATTATTATGCTAAAATTTTAGTACTCATAATTTAAAAAAAAAAATAAAATGTACCTTCTGATTGCGAGAAAATACTCATCGTTAGATAAACCTTTCATTTCTTCTAAATCTTTATTATAGTCTGAATACTGCAAAACATATAAACAAAAAAAAGTTGGGTAGCAAAATCGTATATAATTATATTGATATATTAATTGCACTTCAGTCATTTTTTCAATAAAAAACTCAAATTTTAATAGTTACACGCTGATCTTATATTTTTATAGATATAATTATATGATTAAAATTATCATAAAGCAAAAAAAAAAAATACTTTTTACTCTATTAATTTGTTCTAATTATGAGATAATATTAAACTTACTGGGAAATTCAATGGCACAGTATTTTTCCATAACTTTAAAGCTGCTAGGTCATATGCTCTTGCAGCTGCAATTTCATCAGTAAATCCGCCTGCAAATTCAAGACGAAAAAAAGTCTATGTTAATAACACAATTAACAACAAGAAAGTCAACGAATGCTTGCAATAAATGGCATTAATAAGTTTGATATGCCAGAGGATAACTAACATTCCTCAAATGAAAATTTGCACCAAATTATGGTTTATGTTAAATTATTTTTTTTAAG